TTCGAGACCAGTCTGGGCAACTTGGTGAGACCTTGTCTCTACAATATATCAAAAAATTAGCTGGGCATGGTAGCATGCACCTGTAGTTCCATCTACTTGGAAGGCTGAGATGGAAGGATTGCCAGAGCCCAGTAGGTGGATGCTGGGGTGACCATAAGTTTGCCACTGCCTGGGCAACAGAGTGAGACTCTGACTCTAAATAAATACATAAATAAACAAACTAAGCTGGGCTCGGTGGCTCAGCCTGTAATCCCTTGCTTGGGGAGGCTGAGGTGAGTGGATTGCCTGAGCCCGCGGGTTCGAGACCCGCCTGAGCAACTTGGTGAGACCTCATCTCTACAATAAATCAAAAAATTAGCCGGGCGTGGTGGCACGTGCCTGTAGTTCCAGCTACTTGGAAGGCTGAGGCGGAAGGATTGCCGGAGCCCAGCAGGTCGAGGCTGCAGTGGCCGAGAGTGGCCACTGCACTCCAGTCTGGGCGAGAGTGAGACTCCAACTCAAAAAAATAAAAAATAAAAATAAAAATAAACCAAACTATATTTTCCATCTGGAAACAAAGAACAAAATTAGCTGGGGCATGATGACACTCACCTGTAGTCCTAGCTACTTGGGAGGCTGAGGCAGGAAGTTTAGAGGCTACAGTGAGCAATGATCATGCCACTGCACTCCAGATTGAGCAACAGAGCAAGAGCCTGTCTCTAAATAAGTACATAACACTGTTGCTTGCAGACTGTACAAGTCACAGATAGGGGGCCCAAAGAGCTGCATATAGGAGCCTGAAAAAAAAATGGACTGGAAAAAGAGGCTGAGCGGGGCAGGGATAGGGAAAGACACATGAAAATCAGCTTCAAGGCCTGGCAGGGTGGCTCACGCCTATAATCCCGGCACTTTGGGAGACTGAGGTGAGAGGATTGCCTGAGCCCGCAGGTTCGAGACCAGCCTGGGCAACTTGGTGAGACCTCATATCTACAATAAATCAAAAATTAGCTGAGCATGGTGACGCATGCCTATTGTTCCAGCTACTTGGAAGGCTGAGGCGGAAGGATTGCTGGAGCCCAGCGGATCAATGCTGGGGTGGCTGTGAGTGTGCCACTGCACTCCAGCCTGGGCGATGGAGTGAGACTCCAACTCAAAAAAAAAAACAAACAACAAAAAACAAAGTAGGGGTGACCAGACACACTGGCCTTCTACACACTCATAGGTGTCCTGGTAAGAGCACGAAACAAGGTCAAGCGGGTACAGTGGTGGATTTTATGTGTCAGCTTGTCTAGGCCATGGTGCCTGGAGTTATTTGGTCAAACAGCAGATGAGATGTTGCCATGAAGGTATTTCTGATGTGATTAACTTTTTTTTTTTTAATTGGAGTCTCACGCCATCGCCCAGGCTGGAGTGCGGTAGCATGCTCACGGCCATTCCAGGGTCGACCTGCTGGACTCCGGCAAGACTTCCGCTTCAACCTTCCAAGTGACCAGAACTACAGGCACGGGCTACCATGCCCGGCTAATTTTTTATTTACTGTAGATACAAGGTGTTGCCAAGTTGCCTAGGGTGGTCTCGGTCCTGCGGTTTCAGGCAATTCACTCGCCTCGGCCTCCCAAAGTGCTGGGACTACAGGCTGAGCCACCCAGCCTGGTCTAATGTGATTAACATTTAAATCAATAGCCTGAGTAAAGCAGAGGATCCTCCCTAATGAGGTGGGCCTCACCCAATCAGTCGAAGGGCTTCAGAGAAAAGATAGGTTTCTGAAAAAGGAGGAAATTCTGCCTCATAACATCAGCTCTTGCCAGAATGTCCAGTCTGCTGACCTGCCCTGCACAGGTGGACTTGACAGCCCCCACCGTCGTGTGACCAATTCCTTAAAGTAAACCTCTCCCCACTCCCGGTCTCTTTCTCTCTCTCCTCTCTGCTCTTCTCTTCTCTTCTCTCTCTCTCGCTCCACATACTATTGATTCAGTTTCTCTGGAGAACAGTAAAAGCAAATTTCCCTGCCCCAGTGAAGTGGGTGGAGTGCAGTATAGAATTGTTCCATGGGTTCTTGTTTTCAAAGAAAAGAATTTCATAATGAATCCAAAGTATAGTTCAAGAAAGAATTTATGATAAAGAAAAGAGTGGCTGGGCACGGTGGCTCATGCCAATACCTCCAACACTTGGGAGGCCGAGGTGGGAGGATTGCTTGAGCCCAGGAGTTTGAGACCAGCCTGGGTAACAGTGAAACCTTGTCTCTACAAAAAATTTTAAAAAGAGCCAGGTGTGGTGGCACGTGCCTATAGTCCCAGTTACTCAGGAGCCTGAGATGGAAGGATCACCTGAGCCCAGGAAGTTGAGGCTGCAATGAGCCGTGATCATGCCACTGTACTCCAGCATGGACGACACAGCGAGATCCCGACTCCAAAAAAAAAAAAAGAGAGAGAGAGAAAGAAAGACAGAGAAAGGGCACATTCTAGGAAAAGCATGGGTACCTTAAGAGAAAGGACACATGCTTGCCTTTGACAATAAGTTTTTGTTTTTGTTTTTTTTAGTTGAAGTCTCACTTTGTTGCCCAGGCTGGCATGCAGTGGCACACTCATGGCTACCACAGCCTTGACCAGCTGGGCTCTGACGATCCTTCCACCTCAGCCTTCCAAGTAGCCAGAACTACAGGTGTGCACTACCACACCCAGCTAATTTTTTCTTAATTTATTGTACAGACAAGGTCTAGTGAAGTTGCCCCAACTTGTCTCAAACCTGTGGGCTCAGGCAATATACTTGCCTCAGTCTCCCAAAGTGCTGGGATTATAGGCTGAGCCACTGAGCCTGGCCGACAAGAAGCTTTATATACTTTTTTGTTTTGAGTTGGAATCTACTCCCTCGCCCAGGCTGGAGTGCAGTGCTACACATGGCCACTACAGCTTCGACCTGTGGGGCTCAGGCAATTCTTCTGTCTCAGCCTCCCAAGTAGCTGGAACTACAGGCACGTGCCACCACGCTTAGCTAATTTTAAAAAATTTATTAGGCAGGCTCAGTGACTCAGCCTGTAATCCCGCGCTTTTGGGAGGCTGAGGTGAGTGGATTGCCTGAGCCCGCGGGTTCGAGATCCGCCTGGGCAGCGAGA